TGCAACCAAAAAAATAGCCAGGCATTGTGGCAGACGCCTGTAGTCCCAGCTACTTGGGAGGCTGAGGCAGGAGAATCACCTGAGCCCAGGAGTTGGAGGTTGCTATGAGCTGTGATGCCATGGCACTCTACCCAGGGAGACAGCTTGAGGCTCTGTCTCAAAAAATAAATAAATAAATAGCCAGGCATTGTGTCCGGCTCCTGTAGTTCCAGCTACTTGGGATGCTGAGGCAAGAGAATCTCTTAAGCCCAAGAGTTTGAGGTTGCTATGAGCTGATGCCACAGCACTCTACCAAGGGGGACAAAGTAAAACTGTCTCAAAAAAAAAGAATATTTCTAATAATTAAAACTGTTCATAGGAAATAAAAGGGGGACCAGTGGAGATATACCAGAAGTACAACCTGTATGGCAGGATGTGATCAGAGTGACATGAGGGAGGGGACCCCAACAACAGGAGATCCGCAAGTAAATTTAGATCAACAATTCCACCATGCTTCCCCACAGAGCTACAACAGCCATCAACCCTCACTGGATACGCAATACTAATTTGCTAAACAAATCAAGTCTTAAGAGGAGCAAACCAAGTGGTGCCCGTAGCTCAGTGCGTAGGGCACTGGCCACATGCACCAAGGCTGAGGGTTCAAGCCCCGCCTGAGCCTGCTAAACAACAATGACAACTGCAACAAAAAAAATAGCCAGCGTTGGGCAAGTGCCTGTAGTCCCAGCTACTTGGGAGGCTGAGGCAAGAGAATCTCTTAAGCCCAAGAGTTTGAGGTTGCTGTGAGCTGTGATGCTACCGCACTCTACCAAGGGCAACATAGTGAGACTCTGTCTCAAAAAAAAAAAAAAAAAGGACCAAACTAGAAACACTGGAGAGAACCTTGATTCATCCTGACCTCACTCCCACATTCCACAAACAACTCCAGCTATGCTTTCAAAGTATATCTCCAACTCAGACCACTACTTACCACCCTCTCTAAATCTCCAGTCCATGCTACCATTGTCTACAGATCTCCTTTGCTAATCTTGCTTTACTCTTAGCCACCCCCAACAAGCCTACTCTCAAAAAAAAAAAAAATATATATATATGTATATATGTATGTGTGTATATATATGTATATATGTATATGTGTATATATATATATATATATATATATAATGTTAAAAATATACATCTCTTGCCGGGTGCTGTGGTTCACGCCTGTAATCCTAGCACTCTGGGAGGCCGAGACCGGTGGATTGCCTGAGCTCACAGGTTCAAGATCTGCCTGAGCCAGAGCCAAGATCCCATCTCTAAAGATAGCGGTGCATTGTGGCAGGTGCCTATAGTCCCCAGTACTTGGGAGGCTGAGGCAAGAGAATCACTTGAACCCAAGAGTTTGAGGTTGCTGTGAGCTGTGACACCATGGCACTCTACCAAAGGCAACAGAGTAAGACTCTGTCTCCACAAATAAATGAACAAATACATATATATATACCATGTCTCCCTGTGCAAACCATCCCCCATGACTGTCCTACACTTAATGTAAGATTCAACCCCTGCCTGACCCTCCGACATCATCTTCTACCTGTCTTCCCCTCTGCTCCACCCACACCAGTCCTGCCTGTGCTTCAATTTGCTTAACTGGCCCCCACTTCGAGACCTTTATACTAGGGGCTTCCTCTGCCTGAAATGCTTTGCAGTATTAAGCGTTATCTTTGTCTAATGTAACTACTGTGTAGAGTTTTCCCCACATCTTCACATGGTTGTTTCTTCCTCGGTTTCTTGTCTGAAGTCAAACATCTTCCCCAGGGAAAGACACTGCCTGACGACCCCTTGCTCTCGTAGGAGCTGCTTCGTCAGTTTCCTATCTCCCGTCTCTCTCGGTCTGTCTCTGTCTCCCCAGAACGTGAGCACCCCCAGAGCACTGCGCACGCCTCCCTAGTCGCTAGGTTCCCAGAGCTGATAGCAACTGAGCTCCCAACTTCGCGTTTCTGCACCGAATCCTGCACCCCTGGCTTGTTTTCCACAGAGTTTGCCGACCACTCTGGTCCGCACCTTCTTCCAGAGGATCCAGGCCGGTCCCATAGCTGACCAGGTCCTCGTCGCTGTCACTATTCAGCGCCGCCATCCTGGTCCCTTCCGGGCCACGCCCCCTCGCTACGGCGGCCTCGGCGGCCCAAAAGCCTTTCGCTCTTTCTCCTCCGCGATCGGAAGTGATGTTTTGCGGCTAAGTCAGCAGGGCCAGGATAGTGACTGATACCTGGGCTTGGAGTTACCACTCACCCCATCTCCAACCCAGGGATTCTTAATCCTGTCCTGTAAGAGGTCAGTGGAGTCCTCTTCCAGACCTCTGAAAGATTCACAGACATGGAAGACCTCCATGGCCACGGTGCAGGCAGCTAGAGATAATACTTGGTCAAAGAAAAAAAAGAAATAAGAGAATAACATCTGAGGAGTGTGAGTCCTCTTAAATTATCAGGCGCAGAAAGACGTTAAAATGAGATAGCAATCACGTCCTACTCCACCCTTTGAGCTATGTGTTCCTGTCTTGAAACTGCCTGCTATTGGCACAAGTAGCTATAAATTATCCTAATAATCTGCACAGTGGCTAGAGTGACACAAGGTAGCTTAACAGTGTATAACCAATCACTAATCAATGCTATTTTTGTAAACCAGGGAAAATTCCTGACAAAGAACTTTGTATCAGCCCAATCCCTGTCCCCCTCTTTTGTCTTTAAAACCTTGCATATGGGCTATAGCAAGCACCTGTAATCCCAGCACTTTGGGAGGCCAAGGTGGGAGGATTGCTTGAGATGAGAGTTCAAGAGAAGCAAGGGCAGCATAGCAAGACCCCATCTCTACTAAAATAAAACAAAACAAAAACCTGCTTGTAGCAGAGACCAAATGGAAGTCATATCCAAAGTTACTTGGGTTTGTTTTGAGTCTTCCAGGCAGTTGTTACTTTGCTCAAGGAAATTTTCTTTTCTTTTTTTTTTTTTATCGAGGCCGACTCTCACTTTGTCACCCTCAGGAGAGTGCTATGGCATCATGGCTCACAGCAACCTCAAACACTTGGGCTCGAGAGACTCTCTTGCCTCAGCCTCCCTAGTAGCTGGAACTATAGGCACCCGCCACAATGCCCAGTTATTTGTTTGTTTGTTTGTTTAGCAAGCCCAGGCCAAATTTGAACCCCCCAGCTCCAGAGCACGTGGCCAGCACCCTAACCACTGAGCACAGGTGCCCAGTCTGCTCAAGGAAACTTTTTAAATTATATTTTGAGGTGGGGTGGCTTATGCCCATAATCCTAGCACTCTGGGAGGCCAAGAAGGGAAGATTGCTAGAATTCAGGAGTTCCAGACCAACCTGAGCAAAAGGGAGACCCCTTTCTCTACTAAAAATAAAAAAACTCGGCCAGGTAAGGTGGCTCACGCCTATAATCCTAGCACTCTGGGGGGTCGAGGTGGGTGGTCCTTGAGCTCAGACACCAGCCTGAGCCGGAGTGAGACCCTATCTCTACAAATAGAGGGGAAAAAAAAAAAACCCTAGCTGGTCTTGGTGGCAGGTGCCTATAGTCCCAGCTACTCTGGAGACTGAGCCCAGGAGCTGTGAGTTATGACGACATGGCACTCAACCCCAGGGCAACTAAGTGAGACTCTGTCTCAAAAATAAAGGGAGAGGAGAGGGGAGGGGGGAAAAGAGAAAAGAAAAGAGAGGGGAGGGGAGGGGAGGAGAGGAGAAAAGAGAGAAAAGAAAAGAGAGGAGAGGGGAGGAGGAGGGAAGGGAAGGGAAGGGAGGAAGGAAAGGAAAGAAAAGGAAGGGAAGGGAAGGGAAGGGAAGGGAAGGGAAGGGAAGGGAAGGGAAGGGAAGGGAAG